GTCTAGTAAGCTTGGTCAAACGGTTTCGATCTGTCACATCCGTTCTAACGACAGGGACCCCCGCGCTGAGCTGATCGACCTGGGCTCAGCCAGTGCTCATCCCTATCCCAGGGCTAGGTTCGGTACCATTTGATGCAGTTCAGAGTCCAATCGGTTTAGTCAATTAGAGTCAAACGTGGGCCGGTTGACCCCGACCCGCACTCCGCTTTGGATTTTATTCGCGGCGGCCTCCAACCATGCTCGTCCCATTTCTCAATTCCGTCGTACCTGTGGTCCCTCTGTCCATGCCCACTGTTCTCATCCCCTCCCTTCTTCCCCGCACCACCCTCTACAGGTCTTTGTCAAACAACAATTTGAAGGGCTCCATTCTGAACAGCATATCCGATCTTTCTCAGCTCACATATCTGTACGAAGCACCTTGTGAGCTTGGTGATGAGCACAAAAATGACAAAAATTCACATGAACACTAAAACCCTCAAGTGTTTGTCCTAGGTCGCAGGCAAGAAATCAAGGAGCTTAAAACGTATATGCCAAAAAAACTGGAAGCCAAGCAGAGGCTGAATATTCCGCAACTCCTCCTAGCCCTCCCCATCCCAGGCCCAGGTTTGATTTCTACTCGTGCCCACCTCTCCCAATGCTCATCTCATACCCAGATTGGGTCGACCGTGTGTGCCTTCTGTCCCTCAGTCCATGCCCACTATTCTCATCTCTTCATTTCCTCCACCCCAACCCCCCCCCCCACGCACGCACGCACGCACGCACGCACGCACGCACGCACGCACACACACACACAGACACACACACACACACACTCACTCACAGGTCTCTTGCAAACAACAGGTTGACGGGCCCCATTCCCAACAGCATCTCCAAACTTATGCGGCTCGATAATTTGTATGTGGCCCGTTGCATAAACCTAAACATAATCACATGTCATGTCAATTCTAAAACCCTTGAGAGAACATTCTTCACCAACATAACCTAGATGGCACACGCACGCAGGAGAACAAGGAATTTCAAGTTATCAAAGTGTAGACGGCCACACATATTTGGCAGCCAAGCCAGCCTGAATATCCCTCCCGTCCCATCACAGGCCTGGGTTCGACGAAAACCGCTAAGTCATCGAACTGGTTGTGCGACGGAACTGGTTCAGCCAATTAGAGTCGAACATGAAGCTGCTTGCCTCCAACCAGAGTGCAATCTGGTTTCTTACTCATTCCTGCCTCCCACCATAATGGTCTCATCCCTCAATTAGGTCAATCATGCGTGTTTTCTGCGGCCTCTCTATCCGTGACCAATCTTAACTCCTCGCTTCTTCCGCCCCAACCCACGCCGCACACGCACAGGCAGGCTTCTGCAATGTCCCGAAGCGCAAAATGTCTGCAAGTCTAGTCATGCTCGTCTCAACGAGAATTGAGATGAGATCGACCGCGCAAATTGTGGCCTTGAAATGAGTGAGATTGACTCGCCGCAAGTAGCGTGTTGGCACTCGCATATACTTCGGTCAGCTTAGAGGCTGGTATGCCTCCTTGACTTGTGAATGAATTTTAGTGGACATAATCCTGGGGCAACACAATTCTGGAACTCCTTTTTTGACACTGCGATTTCTTAGGGGTTAAATGAGCCCGGCTCAAATTTACCCCAGAGTACATATGGGGCCATCAATTTCATGATTCGTGAATAGACTGACAAGCCCGATACTAGAAACAAGTGGGGGCAAGTTCCGTACATGATTCGACTGAGGCCAGCCGGACTCCCCAACTCGTGCTTAAGCCTGTTTCCCTGCACCCGTCTCCTTTTCTCTTACCTCCAACACCCTGAGCAGACACTGGCAGCATTCTGGCAGCCTCTCTCTGCACAGAATTCTCGCTGGCGGAGGTCCTCAAGGCCACCAATGACTGGTCAAAGGACAACCAGCTGGGCTCGGGTGCCTTTGGCGATGTGTACAAGGGCGTGTCTCCCCGCGATGGCACCACAATGTGGGCTGTGAAGCGCGCCAAGCTGATCGACGTGGACTTCCAGAAGGAGGTTAGTGAGGCGGAGATACGGAGGTCAGTGACCCGTGGTGAGCCATGATGAGCCTGATGAGCCATGTTCAGCCATGATTGGATGTCCTGAGTGTCATTTCCCATTCTTCGCATAGGTTTTGTAGTCGACTCTTTTTTTTCCACTTTAATGGTGTGTTTTGCGGCTCAACTTATTCATGGACTGTGTCTTCGATGCATTGAAAGACACAAAGAGAAAACATAAACAAAAAACATCTATCCATTTTCTCTCTGCATTGGCATCCCTGCGACAATCGGTTAGTTCTTCCCGTTTCTCAATCTCTTCCTCTTCCCTGCTTTTCACTCTTCCTCTTTGGCTGTGTGGATCAGATCCAGCAGTTGGCCGACAAGAACCATCCCAACATTGTGAGGCTTCTGGGCTTTGCGATTGGAGGAGACTTGAGGTCACGGCCAGAGCACGTTCTCATCTATGAATACGTGCCTAACGGCGACCTTCTCAAATGGATTGGTCCAAGTAAGTGTGCTACTCTCGTGTGATTCCTGTTTGTGCCTTGCAGGTGCTGTGATGTGCCACCCTTGTGCTGTGCCACTCATATGCCGTGCCACGCATTTGGTGCCAAGAATGTTGTGCTGTCCATATGTTGTGCTGCTCATATGCCATCCACTCATATGCTGTGCTTCTCATTTGCCGCATCACATGTGCTGCGCATCCTTGCACTGGCAGTGTACCCTCTGACTCTGAAGCAGCTTGCCACTCAAACGCTGTGCCGACATATGCTGTACCTCGCACCATGGAGAGGTAGCCTGCCATTTGCCACTCATCTGCTGTGCCACTCATGCTGCCATTCATTCCTTGCAGAGGCAGAACGCCCTCTGACTCTGAAGGAGCGGTTGGACATTCTTATCGGCATGGCACGGGGTTTTGAGTACCTCCACAGCTTTGGCATCGTGCATCGCGACATCAAGCCTGCCAACGTCCTCATCACTGATAACATGCAGGCAAGCTTGGTTGTGGTAGATCGATTTTGTGACAGAATGATTTCTATGGTGGAGGGAAAGCTGTATGAAAATTTATGTTTTCCTACGGATTTGAGTCTGGATAAAAGAGGTAATGATAACGTGACCAAATCTTGAGTGGCACGGCGAAGGATGCATGAGCAAAAGGCAAACTCAACACATGTTTGTCTCAAGTTTGCAGGATCATTCGAGGACCTGGTTCATTACAGGGCAGGGAGAGCAAGTTCATGACCTTTCGCGTTTGACAGTTGCAATTCGAAGTGTCGCGGGTATTTTTGTCACGACATTGATTTCGTCAAATGTCACGACATTGATTTTGTCATGACATTGGTTTCCCCGCCAGTCCACCCACCCCAAATCCCAACGTACCGCAATCCACCTCCCAAACCCAATCTGCACTCTCACTTCCGTATTGTCGCATCTATGCCAAACCTAATCCTCGAGCGCTACATTCAACTCACCACACTCCAATTTAAGTACTTAGCGGAAGTACTAACCGACCTGAAACAAGAACGTTCTTAACAATTGCTTTTAACGCGGGTGTAAGTGTTGTGGCTAAAGGGTTAGTAAACGTCAACATTCAACCTCAAAACAGAGCTCAAATGCTGATTTTTCCCACTAAGTAGGAAACTGACGTGCGGGTTTTGACAGAACCTGTCAGGTTCGTGTCAAACCCTTACTGAGGCATTTATGTTTGCCGCTAATTAGGCAAACGCAGCGGCCAAGCGCATTCATGTTGGCAAAAAAAAAAAACATCTTGCACAAGATGACTATTATGGCTCAACTCAGTATCTCATTTCTTGCTGCAACCATGAACTCAACCTCAATCATAAACCCTGACCTTTTGTCACCACAATGCTCTGCTGTGGGTAGCACCAGTGCACCACACGCAACCATTTGTCATTCTCTAATCTTCATCCCTCATTCTACAATAAGAACTCTCATTAATGTCACCAGGCGAAGATTGCAGACTTTGGGCTGGTGAGGATAGGCGAGGGCACGAGTGTGGGCACAACACGCATTATGGGCACACCGGGCTATGTGGATCCCATCTACACCAGCGCCTGCAAGGCCACCACTGCCAGCGATGTGTACAGGTAAGGCAAGATGTGTACAGGTGAGGCAAGATGTGTACAGGTGAGGCTGGAAAACCGTAGAAAGCACAACGCGTGTCATGGGCACACCGGGCTATGTGGATCCTGTCTACTTCAGCACGTGCAAGGCCACCACTGCCAGCGATGTGTACAGGTAAGGCAGTGATGTGCACGGGTCAGGCTGAAGGCCCTTAGGAAACTTCGCAGTAGATCCTTTAGAAACTCTTTAGAAGTCCCTTCAGAACCATTGTAGAAGCTCGTTATGATGCGTTGCAGGAGTCCCTCAGAAATCACTGCAATAGACCCTAGAGAGCATTGCAGGATTCCTTCAGAAATATTGCAGGAGTCCTTTAAAGATCATTGCAGGAGACTATTATCGCAGGAAACTATCATTGCAGGAAACCCTAAGAAAGCTTTGCAGGAGTCCCTTAGAAAGCACAGCATGAGTCACATAGAAATCAATGCAAGAGACCCTTACAAAGCATTGCAAGAAGTCCTTACAAAGCATTGCTGAGATCCTTGGAAAGCGTTGCAACCTCATAAAGCACTTCAAGAAACCCTTCAAAAGGCATTGCAAGAATCCCTTGAATTAGCATTGCAGGAACCTCTTAGAAAGCATTGCAGGTTTCCGTTAGAAAGCATAGCAAAGCCACTATAAGGCATTGCAGGAGTCCTTTGAAGTCCCTTAGAATTATTGCAGGAATTCCCTGGAAAGCATTTCGGGAGGCTCCAAGTGCTATGTACGTACAGTCCATATATCTGTGCACACTGCGTTCAGGTGGCAAATTTCATGTGAAGTGCCTCCATCCCTGATGCTTCCTCTGCATCGTGTGCTCTGCTCATCATGTGCCTTTGAACTCTTCTTTTCAGCTTTGGAGTGCTAATGCTGGTCGTGTTTACGGAACGCCCACCAATCGTGGAGATTGATGGAGAGGGTCAGCCGCTCTCAAAATGGGTAAGCACCTCTCATGATTGGTTGTGGTACATCTGGTTTCAATGATGGCGTCCTCTCATTAATGATTGGTTGTGATACATCTGGTTTTGCTAGTGGTCTTCTCAGGGTTTGCAGATCACTCTGTTGGTAAGAACTATTCCACTTATATACAGGAACCTAGTGAGCATCTTCTTAATTGCACCAAAGGGGTATTCTGCCCACACGTTTTTATTGACCTGGCTCACCTTCCGTTTGTGTTTTCTCCCGTCGGCTCCACTCCCTCAGGCATCGGACTGCCTCTCCTCAGACGACGTGGGCAGCCTCAAGCACCCCACCATGGACGCCCCTGCTGAAGCTGTGCTGCGTGTGGCAAAGCTTGCCATCATCTGCACCGCGGAGCGCACAGCAACACGCCCAAGCATGGCACACATTGCCAATGAGCTGCAGGCCATTCGGGAGGAGGTGGTGGGGAAAGAGGAGCTGAGCGCGGCTGTCAAGGTGGATGCGCAGGTCCAGGAAAAGGAGGTTCTGGGAAGTGTGTTAAGCCTCGATGAAGAGCTTCAATTCATTCAAGATAATTTGGCTGAAGGATAAGATACGTTCTGATATTGACAAGTACCGTATCACCCCGGATAGTAGCGCATATGCGCTTATAATGAAATTAATAATTTTAAGGGGGACGCTTGTAATTGAGTCACGGCCATAAGCGCCGGCGCTTATATAATGACAAACATGCAAATACAACTTAAACGCATCAAATTGTACATTTCAATCTCGTAACTTCAATCGAAACGAGATTTTACAGCGTCATAAATCAGAATCGCGCGAGGGCGATTCTCTGACACTGCACAATGCTTTGGCACGTCAGTTTGACCGCGTGCCAGCTCATCCTGACTGGACGCGCAACCATTGAGATCCTCAAAAGTCAAACTCTGTGAAAAAGGTGTGTTGACTCGCTGGAAATTTGAAATTCGTTTTAATCAGGATTCAAAAATAAAATTATGCATGCGCTTATAATAAATCAGGGTTTCACAGGGGGGGCGCTTATAATTGAATTCCGGCCATAAGCGCCATGCTCCAGATAGAAGCGCCGGCGCCTTTAATCGGACGGCGCCTATATCCGGGGCCATACGGTAGCAGTTTCCATTTGGGCGCTGAGTGTGTATGTCAAGAAGCACCAACATTGTAATCCTCCTGATAAAATACTCCATGGTCTTATGATTATGTATGTGATTCTTTTTGGTGGGGGGGTTTTTAATCACAGTAATATTATCAAAATACTAGCGTGAGAATGGTGCATTGAATGAAACAGTTGGGTACAAGTAGCTAACCCTAGTTGGGGTTGTACCCCATACTGGCTACCCCACTACAGCCTACCAACATATAACAGTTTAACACACCCCCATAGGCAAAGTGGGGGAGAACAAAGGGTCACAAGACCAGTCCAGCAAAGCAAAGCAAGCTCAAGGTGGATCACAACGTCACCACACTCCGAGCACAAGCAAAGGCCACAAGGCCAGTTCACATGCAGTGCTAGATATAGTACAAGACAAGCAACACAGTGATCAAAACCTAGCAAGCAAGCAAAAAGATATATATAAAGTACAGTACAAAGAAAGTCAAGCAGTAAGCAAATGAGGGAATGTGGACACAAGGCCTAAAGAAGTACAGTGCCGCTGATGATCACTAGGCGGGAGCGCCTTGGTGAAGATATCAGCAGTGTTGGCCTTCGAGTCCACGTACACAAGCCGAAGCTGACCTCGCTGCTGCAGCTCTCGAGCAAGGAAGTAGCGAAGAGCAATGTGCTTCGTCCTGTGCTCCAGTCTGTGCTCCTGACACAAGGCAAGGGCCGCCTTGTTGTCGCCGTACAGAACTGGAGGAGAACTAGGCCGCTCTCCCAAGTCAGTCAGCAGGTAGGTGAGCCAGCGTAACTCCTGTGCAGCCATGGCCGTGGCGTAGATCTCAGCCTCACAACTAGAGCTGAGAACAGAAGAAGAGCGGGTGGACCGCCACGAGACAGAACCAGAGCCAAGGCTGAAGGTGTAACCCTGCGACGACCGCTGCGTAGCCAAGTCGTCCACCCAAGAAGCGTCCGAGTGACCAGTGAGAACAACTCTGTCGCGTCCTCCAAGCACCAGCCCCATGCCTGATGTACTGCACAAGTAACGCAGCACCCTCTTAGCAGCCTCCCAGTGCTCTCGCCTGTGTCTCCCAGGCGCAACGTAACGAGCAAGGATGCTAAGAGGGTACGCGAGGTCAGGTCGCGTGCAAGTCATCAGGTACATGAGGCAGCCTACAAGCTCTGGGTACGGGCCACTCGGCTCTACGGACTCGTCCGAAGGTGGAGCTGAGAGCGAGTGGCTGGTAGCCAGAGGTGTGGCCTGTGGTGAGGAGAACTGGAAGCCGAAGCGCTGAAGGACCTGCTGCACCATGTGTGACTGAGTCAGGGTAATGGTGCGGCGTGCTCTGTCCCGGGTGATCTGCAAGCCAAGGTAGCTACGCAGCTCACCCAGGTCAGTGCAGGTGTGTCTCTTCTGCAGCTCCGACTTCACACGAGCGAGTGCCTCAGTGTCAGCAGTAGCAAAGACCAAGTCGTCGACGTACACGAGAATGTAGAACGGCGGCAGCGACGTGTCTGTGCGCAGAAACAGCGACGGGTCAGCAGTAGACGGCGCGAACCCAAGGGCCGCAAGTGTAGTCCTCAGTGTGTCGTGCCACTCACGTGGCGCCTGGCGGAGACCGTAGACTGGCCGGCGGAGGCTCCACTGGGTACCAGGAGGAAACGACCCAGTAAAGCCAGGTGGGCGGCGCAGCCAGATCTCCTCGTGCAGGCTGCCCTGCAGGAAAGCTGTGCTGAAGTCAAGAGAGTGAAGCTCGTAGTCACGCTGAGCAGCAACGTGCAGCAGAACCCGAAGAGTGGTCATCTTCGGGGTGGGGGAGAAGGTCTGGAAGAAGTCAACCCCCTGGCGCTGACTGAAGCCTCTAGCAACGTAACGAGCCTTGAAGACAGGCGGAGAACCCGACGGCCGCTTCACCCTGAAAATCCACATGCCATCGACGATGTTCGCCCCAGGAGGGGGAACCTCGTCGACGTAGGTGCCTGTGGACTTCCAGGATGCCATCTCTGCGTCCATGGCTATCTGCCACTGAGAGGAGTAGGGACCCGAGATCGCCTTTGCGTAAGAGCGCGGAGTGGGGATGTCTAGTGCATCCGGGTTTCCTTCAGGGGCAAGCAACCAGGCCACGAGATGAGGTACAGCAGCCGCAAGAGAGTCAAAGTCCTCCTGCCTGTCCTCAAGGACGTCCGTGCCAAGAGCACACTCACCCCCGACGGACGGAGGACAGACAGACTCAGACTCAGCAACAAGACTGGCGGCGTAGTCTAGGCGACATGCAGCAGCAAAGTCGACAAGCTCAGCGACCAGGGCAGACGCAGCAGAAGACTCAAACGACGGGTCAGTGACAACAGTGGCGAGAAGACGCGTAACAGTAGGGTGGGCAGCACGAACACTGTCAGACTCAGGGTCGGGAACGTCAGGAAGAGAAGACGCAGGAGGAGACGGTAGGGGGACACGCTGTGGACCAGTGGAAGGACGAAGGGCCATAATATGCGTGCCAGGAACAGGAGGAGGACGCGGACGCGCGACACGACGACCAGTGGGACCAGTGCGCGCAGTGCGAGCAGTGCGAGTAGCACGAACAGGCGAGGCAGGACGAGACACAGGCTCACGACGCTCCGTAAGCGAGTCCGGCAGTGCAGTGTAAGGTACAGGAGCAGGGAGGGGGGAGCCAGGCTGGAGGGGAAGGCCAGTGGAAGACGGGAGGGAAAGAACCTGGCGAAGCACCGTGTCAGGCGGTGGCAAAGCCGACGGTGACGGAGGAGCGAAGAACAGGCGCGACGGCGGAGCTCCGCCAGCACCTCCAGCACCCGCAGCACCAGAAGCACCAGGACCAGCACCCTCCGCCGCAGCACCCCCAGAGTCGGCGACGTCAGCACCAGAGGCCCCAGCAGCGTCAGACCTCCCCTCGCCAGCACCTCCAGAACCAGCAGGACCACCGTGTCCAGAACCGTCAGCTCCAGTGTCGTCAGCTCCAGCAGCTCCAGTACCGCCAGGAAGAGCACCCCCAGAGCCGGTAGCTCCAACTCCGCTGGCACCGCCAGCTCCAGAGTCCCCAGCTCCAGCAGCTCCAGCCTCAGTGCTCCCAGAACAGCCAGTCCCGGCAGCTCCAGTACCTCCAGTACGAGCACCTCCAGGACGAGCAGCTCCAGAACCTCCAACTCCAGCAGGGCCACGAGGACGGCGAAAGCGCCGGACGTACCAGTCACGAAGCTGCTGCGGTGTGAGAGACTGCTCAGCACCCCGAATCGGAGCACCCGCAGACGCAGTAACCCCCAGACTCCGTACACGCAGGCTCAGCACCCCCAGTCGCAGCACCCCCAGGCTCAGCACTCCCAGGCTCCGAACTCTCAGGCACAGTACCCTCAGCTCCAGCACCCTCAGTCCCAGCACCCGCAGCCGCAGCACCCCCAGGCCCAGCACCCGCAGGCTCAGCACCCCCAGGCTCAGCACTCCCAGCAGCACCACCTGCAGCAGCACCTGAGTCACCTGTGACCTCGACAGGCTCAGCGACGGGAGGAGGGTCTACCTGAGAGACACCTGAAGGAGCAGGACCCTGAGGGGGAAGGGGGTCTACCGGAGGGGGACCAGGAGCGAGGAAAAGCGGCGGGGGAGGGAGGGGGGCAGTGCGGTAGGGGAAGAGACGGTAAAAAGGGACCGACTCGTCAAAGGTGACGTCCTGAGAGGCGAAGACCCGGCGCGAGGTGGGGTGGTAAAACTGCCAGCCAGGCGCGTCAGGGACAAAGCCAAGGAAGACACAGGGAAGCGTGCGGGAGGAGAGCTTGTCCGCGGACGTATCGCGGACAAGGGCACGAGCACCCCACACCCGGAAGCGCGACGCATCGCCAACCTCCCCCGTCCAACGCAGTGTGGGCGAGGTCTCCGGCAAGGAGACACGGGGCCAGAGGTTGAGCTGACGCGCGGCGTACCGGACAGCAAACGGCCACAGAAAATGGGGAGCCGCCGCATGGACCAAGGAGGTACGAGCGACCTCCATGACCAGGCCAATGCGGCGCTCAGCAACCCCATTCTGCTGTGGGGAGTCCGGAAGCGTGAAGGTCTGCTCGATGCCCTCCGCCTGACAGAAGGTCCTCAAGAGGTCGGAGGAGAACTCACCACCTCTGTCAGAGTGCAGACGCAGGACAGGAAGATCTGTCCGGAAACGGCGGCGGAGCTGGAGACGAACTGTGCGGATCCAAGGGATCAGAAAAACAGGGACCTCACCCTTGGTGCGCAAGGGGAAGACCGTGGTGTAACGCGAGTAGTCGTCGACAACCAGCAAAAAGTACCGCTCACCGCCCTGGCCACGAACGCGGGCTGGGCCCCACACGTCCAGGTGGAGGGTCTGCAGAGGAGCCTCTGTCGGGGGGAACGAGGAGGAGTGAGGAGCGGCGCGCTGCCGCCCCTCGACGCAAGGAAGGCAAGGCGGCGCAGGCGAGGCAGGGAGGGGAGGGAGGGACCTGGGAAGACCAGACA